ACAGAACCCAGGAGTCTGGGCATTCAGTCCCCATACCACTGTCCTCTCCTAGAGCTAGGGCCATCCCTAGGGGGGTGCAAATCAGGGAAACTGCCCCGAGCCCTGCACTTTGGGGGACCCGTGGAGCTGGGTGGAGTGGCCACTGTGCTGCTGCTGGCTTCACATCTGGCTGCTCAGCACCCCTCCCCCCCCCCCGCCAAATCTGCCGCCAGCTTCCTTGCATCCGGGGGCAGGGCCCCACATAGGCTGATTTGCCCTGGGCCCTGCACCCTGCTCAGGTCATTTGTCTAGAGCTTGAGACAGAACCCAGGAGTCCAGGCATCCAATCCCAGATCCAATCATTACACCCTTATGCTTCCAAAACTAGATGTAGAACCCAGGAGTCCAGGCACCCAATCACTGCACCCTTGGAGCTAGGGACAGAACCGAGGAGACCAGATATCCAATTACCATAATTCTCTCCCAGAATTAGGCACAAAACCCAGGAGTTTGAGCACTCAATCCCAGGCCCAATGCAATCACTACACCACTGTCCATTCCCAAAGCCAAGTGTGGAACCCAGGAGTCTGGCCATCCAGTCTCAGCCCCAGATCCCACCACCGCATCCCTGTCCCCCATAAAGATGCATCCCAGAGACCGCCCCCTGCCAGGTACCAGCAAAAAGCCACCCCCCCGCCGCCTTTATAGATCACCTTGCACCTCAGGCCTGAGAGGGAACATGTCTCCCTTTCTGCCTGCCCAGGCTGCGGTCACCGGGTGCCACCCCACACCAATGCTGTGCCCCCTACCTGGGATCACAGCCAATCCATCGTCGAACTGGGCTGCTCTCCCAGTCACTAGCGTGGCACTTCTTTGGGGCCTGGGTGGGAACAGAGCAACAGAAGCTGTCATTTGAAGACAATCCCTAAGTCACAAGGGGGCTGGGAATTTGGAGATGATCCCTTGGCTCAGGGGCTGGCACTGAAGTAAGCCAGGTCCCTGGTGGAACTGGGAGACCTAGAGCTGGGGAGGAGGTAATCTTAGCCCTCTCCCCAGTATCTCACAGGCCCAGAAGAGAGCACTGAGGGCTGAGGCCTTGGAGATAGTGGCAAGACCCTTCCCAGCCCCCTCCCAGGGCCCAATTGGAACTGGGAGAGACTGGGAGACCCTGAGACACAAAAGCGTAGGTGTTGGGGAGATGCCCTCCCCAGCCAAGCAGGTTATCTGGGGGATCTGTGGGGGCTCTGTGGCTTGGGGAGCGCAAGCACTGGACTTGACTAGTTTGGGCTGGGAGGAAAAGCTCTGCGGAAGTGGGGGAAGAACAGCAGCTGATGGCAGGTATCAGTCAAGAAGGAAAGAGAGCTCCCTCCATCACTGGCTGCTCTGCTTTGTGCTCCCTGCCCCCTCCACTGCTGTTCTCTATTCCCTGCCCTGTGCCCTGTCCACAGTTCTGCTTTCAGCTCCCATCCTTGTGCTTCCTAATCCACTGCTCTGCTTTCTAACTCCCTGCTCTGCAATCCCTACCCCATAGGGTAGGGAGTCAAGAGTAGAGCAGCCAGTGCCCCATCCATGCACTGCTCTGCTTTCTGCTCCGTCTTGTTCTCCCAGTCCCATTGGCTGCTTTACTTCCTGCTCCCTGCCTTTCAGCCACTTTCCCCTCCCAGATTTGCCCCTTGTCACCCCTTCTCTCCCCAGCTCCTAGGCCAAGCCCAGTACCTACCAGTCCCTCTGGCACTGAACTCAGGGCTGTGCCACAGAAATCCTCCAGACATCAGGGTGACCCCATTCCCACCCCCAGCGAAGGAAAGAAGGGACTTGGTGCTGACCAGGAGGCGTTGGTTCGGCTCAGTGCAAGCCAGTTCTGCCCACGCTGCTCCTGGAATCACCCAATTACTGAAATTTCTCCACCCCACCCCAGAGTATATTTAGGAGGGGGGCAGGAGGTGGGTCCTGGCAGCTCTCCCCCACCCCCACCATGGGCTGCCCTCTTAAACACCCAGCTTGGGGACAGGGACTACTCTATAACCCCTTCCTTGTCAGGAGTAACAAGATTCCTTCCCAAGGCCTGGGGAGTGGACAAGGAAGAAGAATAGTGTCTTGAAACCTGGGGGAAAGGGAAGGAAGGAGAGAGGAAAGGAAGGTATCTCAGGGCCTGGGGAAGGCAGGAAGGAGAAGCAGAGAGTACCTTAGGGGGAGGAGAAAGAAGGAAAAATGGTGTTTCCCCAGCACCAAGGGGAAGGGAGGGAGAAGAGGGGTGTCCCATGACTAAGTGGGCAGAGGCAGAAAAGAAACATCTCTAGGACCTGAAGAGTGACAGGAGGAAAAAGGGGTGTATCTGAGGGCTGAGACACAGGAAAGAGGGAGTGTCACAGAGGCTGGGGGAGGAAAGGAGGAGGTGAGGGAGGATGTTATAGCAGGGCATGGGGGTAGAGGAAAAGGGGGTGTTCCAGGACCTGGGGGAGGGAGGCGTTGCAAAACCTGGGGGAGGGGGCGCAGGACAGGACTAGCCAGGGTGGCTGGTCCCTGAGGGAGGGCGGGGGGAAAGTAACCAGCACAAGCTCCTCCCAATGGTGAGAGGGGAATGGGGGCTGGGGCAGGAGAACCCCATCATGGGGGCATCATGGGCTTAGCCCAGATCTCTTGTAGGCTAGTTAAAGATGAGAAAGATGAGTAGAAGCCTAAAGAAATTCTCATGCTGAAAGAAACAACCCCAAGAACTTTAGAAAGGAAAGATCATCTTACAGAAAGCAAGACCCCCCCCACCCCGCAGCAGGGGCTAGAGGGTGAAGGCCCC